AATAGTAAGGAATAGAAACGACTAATGCCTTGTTCGTCTATCTAATTTATGGTACAAGTGAAGGTTCCATCGGAACATTATTTATTTCAGTTGGGGGGGGGAGGATGGGGTAAAAATGACAAGAAGATATTCGAACATCAACTTAGAAGAGATGCTCGAGGCACGAGTTCATTTTAGCCATGGTACTAGGAAACGGAATCCTAAAATGTATTCATATTATAAATCTTAATAGATCTGCTCGTTTTTTATCAGAAGCCTGCGATTTGGTTTTAATACAACAAGTGGGGGAAAACAATTCTTGATTATTAGTACAAAAAATAAAGCATTATGCAAAATATGGTAGTTGAGGAAGAACGTAACGGATATCAAAATACTTATATATTTTATGATTCTCAATCTCCGACCAACGTTGACTATGAAAGTTCGTCCTCTGTCCTGTCTCCTGAACTTTTGAGAGATTTTAATAACACGACATATGTTAGTTTTCTTGATTGGCATCAAAATCTAATAATCAAGGAAAACACAATGAACTAAAAACAAAACTGGTAGCATACTTGTGGGATAAACGTGGTCAAATAAACGATATAGAAGATTATGATGGTGATAATGATGATAGTAATGGTGAATGGGATGTTTATTTGTTACGTTTTTATTTTAGATTATTTTTTATGTGTAAATTTATTATATGTACAATAATTTGAGTTAATTTAATGAGGAAATTTGCTAGACACCCCTTATTTTAGACTTATATTAGGTGGAGATTCTAGTTGTTAGATGAATATAGGTCATTTGACCCAAAAAAATAATATAAATAAAATAAATTAATTAGTATATAGACATGAACACCCTCAATTAATAAGAAAACAAATCTCATATATTTCTCTCTCCAATCACATTTCTCTCAGCATATATTTAATCGTTCAACTCTCCTTTTCTCTCTCCGTATATCACGCCTCTCTCGTGCTTCTCCTTCTTTTTCCTTTTCTCTATTTGTTTTTTATGAAGAAATATTATAGATAATAAAAAAAAAGGATCTTTTTAGATTTTGAGATGATTTCTTGGTGAAAATTTTAAAGAGGACAACAAACATCCAATCCCCCTAAAAAAAAGCAATTCAGAAATCTAAAATCCTATTCAAAATTCTCATTGTGTCTTCCGTATGTAGAACCTTCCCATCGTTTGTTGTTAGCAATTTTCGTTTGTAGGTTGGTTTAACCTTGTTTGTTGTTTGAAGAATTGCGTGTGGTGTTGAGATTCAATCCTCTGGTTTAGAATTTGCAAGGCATGTCTTAAGTTACATTTAACAAACACTTTATTTAATGTTTTTGCTGTTTGCAACGTGTTCCATAAACACATTTTTTTTTTATGATTTTAATGATGCTGATTTTTTTTTTCAGTTTGCTGTTTGCATTTGGCGAAGTCATAGATAGTTTTATTGCTTGCAATTCAATAATAAAAATTAAAGAAAAAAAATTTCAGTTTGTTATTGCATTTGACGAAGTCAATATGTAGTTTTTTGTTTGCAATTCAATAATGCAAATTCTGGATTTTTTTTTTTGAGTTTGCTGTTTGCATTTTTTGACGAAATCATAGGTATTTGGTTGTTTACAATTCAATAATATAAATTCTAATTTTAAGTTTGTTATTTGCAGTTCACGGAGTAATAGGCAGTGGCACGGCGGCGGTGGCATTTTTAGAGTATGAGTTTGTAAAATGAATAGTATATTTTTTTTTACAAATTAATTTAATTTTTTAGTTAATATTTGGAAGAGAGATGTTTGGAAATTTGTTTTGATAGAGAGAGTTTTTGGGATTTCAATTGATTTGACTTGGATTTATGTACATAAATTATTATGCAGAGGGACCTATAACAAATTGCCCCTAATTTAATTACATATTTTGATAGTGTCTTAAAATTAATAACATAAATTTTAAATTATATAGGTAAAAATATATTACTTAAAATTAGTTCTATAATTAATATTTAGAAAATAAAATAATACTAAAATTATTATAAACATTAAATTTATAGTTTTGTGAAATTTATGGTGAATTGCCATAGATGACCAAACCAAATTTCATTTGTTATAAATGGTGAAATATTATTGTTGAATTTGAATGCCTATCAAAGTCCACTCATCTGTTGAGACAGACTACATGTTACGACATTAGGTGACGTAACAGAATTGTTGTGTTGTCACAGTAATAAATCTACGAAAAGCAGAATAAAGAACACAACAATTTAATGTGGTTCGGATACAAATGTACCCTACATCCACGAGGACTTGCAAAACTAGTTCAGATTTAAGTGTACATTAATAGGACTTAATAAAACACTAAAGACTCCCTCTTTATGTGATACGCCGTTCTTGCACACGACTCGAACTTGTTGATAATCAAAGCAATTCCTCCTCCGGACTCTTGGACTTCCTCCAATGTTGAACTTCCTTCAAACGGCGGATCGACCTCTCCCGAGATCTTTTAAGCACTTCTCCCGAAACGCCGATCTTCTTTATGGCCTGGTAGAAGAAACCTGTTCTGTTGCCACACCTGCCGTGCAGACAGGGCTGCAGCACGGGCTGCACCCTTCAAAGCCTTTATGCTGGGATTTTTCTTATTAAAGCTCCATCGGACTCATATGAGGTTGAGGGCCTTATATAGGCACGAAATCCACCACCCTAAACCTAACTTGGGCCCTAAGAAATCGATTAACTAGGTAATAGAATCCTAGTCGATTTCTACTTATATTCTAGATAAGTACAAAAGATATCTAACTAGAATATAATACATGGAAATAAATCTAAGTCCTAATAACAATATTACAAAAATAGGACTCTAATTAATTCCAAAATAAACATGGAAAACAAATCTTTGCCAATCTTTAATTTCCACGTATGGCGGATTTCTTCAATCTTCACAAATAGAAATCTCGTGCCAACAATTATTATTTATTAATTGGTCTAAAATTTGGTGAAATGCATTCCAAAATATAAATTTTCCACCCAAAATGGTGGAATAGTGAAATGGTGCGCAACCGGCAAGCGATAAATCCATTTTTTCAAAAAAAAAAAAGAAATTTTGTGAAAAAATAGTGAAATCGAAGGGAGATATTCCTAGTAGTAAATAAAAGTTATTTGAGGTAGGTCCAAAAAATTAAGTTTCACTTTTGACCAAATTACTCATTTTATTTTGTTTTAAATTAATTCCCTTAAAATTAAGTTCCAAAAAAACCCTTTCAAAATTCCATTCCACACAAGTCCACATACAAAAATTATATGAAAATAAAATATATATAATTAAAACACAGCTAGCACTACCCACCCAGACATGACCGTTAGAACACCGCTGCCGATCCACCGCAACAAATCAGATCTCCGATTACTTGTTGATGTCGCTGATATCTGTTGGCATTAAATCAACTAAATCATTGTGGTCGAAAAAAACTCTGGTCAACTAAATCAAGTTAGCTAATCGTAAGTCAACTAATTAGAGAACTCTGTCGACACGACGTAGTGTCAACTAATCGAAGTCAGCTAATTAGAAGAAAGTCAGCTGTTCAAAAATCGGAAGTTAGCTGAACAGAACTCAAGGGATTAGCCCCAAAAAACCTCAAAATGAATTTGAAAAGGGTCAAAAATTGATAACCTAATATTTTGGGCTTTATACATTATTTTGGAAAAAAATGTAATGTGAAGGAGATTTTTGTATTTATGTATATTACAGGATATATGATACAAAGTTCATAGTATAGAAGTGTTTTTGTTAATTAACTCATAATATTAAGTATAGCTCTATAAGTATAGACATAGATATAGATATAAATAGATATAAGCCGCCACATCTTAATCTATCCAATCAAAGACTTTTCTACATTTCCTTATCCCACTACACACTTTTTGTCTACACTTTAATACTTTATACTTAAATGATAAATTAATGAATCATGCAAATTGAATCTAATTTTTTGAGAAAAATAGGTGTAATTTTCACAAGTGTTGAGTTATTGAATATGAGGAGTTATATATATATATATATATATATATATATATATATATATATATATATATATATATATATATATATATATAATTTTTGTGAAAAGGGAATCAGTGTAAAATTGAAAGGATGAAAAATGTGGTTTTCCCAATCATTTGACTTTAATTATTTGTTTGAACCATTTCTAAGCTTCTGTTTGGTTTAATCAATTGTGAAGTTAAAGTTTGGGTAAGCATCCGTGTAGTTGAGTTCAAAAAATTGATATCAAATCCGAGGTTACCGGTGTGACCGAAAAATCGAATGAGTTCAACGAAATTGTGGTGCGTAAGGAGCAAATATCGTTGTTTTATTTGATGATCTTGAACTCAGACTAATAACTTCCTTGGTAAGAAGGCACATAAGGCTCCTACTCGCCTAACAAAAACTAACAAAAAGAATTAAGAGCTACAAATATCTTTTTTCACAAGTGTGTGCCCATTGGTTAATTGGTTAATAATTCATCAAATCAATGAATCCTATTCACCTCAATCCAATGGAATACAGAAATGGAAAAAATCAACCAATAAAATAAGACCAACAATTATTATATTAACTACACATCAAATTCAATCAAATTACGTAATTAGTTATACTTATGTTACCAGGCAAATAAAATTTATAGTAATTAGTTATACTAATTATTATATTTTTCTGTTAAATTTTTGTTGGTGATTAATAGTCTGTTACTATGATCTATAATATAAATATAATAATTGCATTTTACCAAGAAAAAGAAAATCAATTTTATCAAATTAAAGATAATCATTTGAGAGTTGAGACAGTGATCTGAAACTTAAAGTTGAAACTTACCATTGTTTTATGTTTATATGCTCCTTTTAGAAACTTGATGTTTACTCCAATTTAATCAAATAATTGATATCCATACAAATTAACTATTAATTATGAGATTTCAAAGACTAAAAATGAATAATAATCAATTAATCATAGTACAAAGTTTTTTCTTTATTCACAGCAGTAGGCTTTTAGAGAGAGAGAGAGTTAGAGAGAGAAGGGGAGAGAGAAGAAATGGATAGAGTGTTTTCAGTGGATGGGATCGCTGACCAGTTCTGGTCACCCCACCCTCCTATTCGCCTCGGCGACGACGACGAGGAGACGGACCAACCGTCTTCCTCCTCCGCCGCCGCCGCCACCACCGCGGAATCGAAGTCGATGCGGATGAACCGTAGCTCGTCGGAATGGGCCTTCCAGCGATTCCTCCAGGAGGCTGCCTTGCCTGACAACACTACCACCACCACCACCACCACCACCCAACAATCGTCTACGCTGTCGAAGCATCCGTCGCAAGACGACGTCGTTGAGATCAAAGGAAACCATCATTTCAGCGCTGTGGGGGTCAAGGTCAACGGTAACCAGCGAAAGCTAGAGCTGGCTTCGGGGGACCCACCACCACCGCCGAATATTCCGGTCGATTCTGATGAGTATCAGGCCTTCCTTAAAAGCCGCCTCGAGCTGGCCTGCGCCGCCGTCGCTTTGACTCGGGTATTTTGATTTTTTTTTTCTCTTCCATTTCGAGAAAGTTGAAATTATAACTTTCACCGGAAAAAAAGATGTATCGCTGCATCAATTAATACCAATTCCTCTACCCGTTATACCCTCTGCTTTGTAGATATTTATGTCAAATTTTTTTTCTCCAATTTCATTCATCTCCTTTGATTTGTGCATTAATTAGGTGTGTAAACGAGCCGAGCTCGAGCCTAGATTAGTTGTTTTTGAGAGCTCAAGCTCGAGCTCGAGCCGATTTTGACGAGCTCGAGCCCTAGCTCATTTACACCCCTAGGACTTAACTACGAGATTACACTTGCAAAAAGAACAAAAAAAGATATAAAAAGATTTATCTATGTATGTTTTGTTCTAAATGCTGAAAATCGGGAATCTGCAATGTATTTAGGGAAGCAGTGGCAAGGTTCAAGAATCTGCAGCTGTGGTAGCTGAAAACGGATCTCAAGCTTCTAATACGTCGCAGCTCGGGTCTCATCTTACTTACAAAGGTTTGAATTACTGTTTTTATGCATGTCGTCGTATCTCTCTACATTGATTTGGGAGTCCACGATCATTTACACGTACGTCGCTGCATTTATTGTTGCTGGTAAAGAAAACATTAGGGAAACTTGGTTATGAAAGAAATCATATACTGTTAGACTATTGTTGTATAAACGAAATGCTCCTGATTTCACATAATTATACATTGATAACACTCATATATTATGCCTATTTTACTACTCATCGTGATTTTGTCGATGCAAATTGAATGCTATTGTTTGATCCAATAGCATCTTAAATTATCTCCAATTCCGGATCTGATTATTAATAGATTCGTAGAATGTTTCACAAGTGAGTGACCGTATCTTGACAAAATTGAGATGCTAACGTTGAAATCTTTTTTCATTTTATTTTCTATTTAAAAAGGGAAGAATCCTTTTACATTTTTTTTACGACTTATGAGCTCTATTTCTTAGCCATGTATTATTAAATATCTTCGTCTTCTTCCGGTCAACCCTCGCTCATTGGGTTAACCACCAAATCTTCAGCCTGGTAAGAGATCGCTGAACTCCGAAATTTAAAAATGTTCAAGCCCATAGTACTTAACTGTATAGAAAATGTTCAACTGCATTGTTGTAAAATGGAGTTCCGTTTCCTTTTTCTTTTGTTTTAGTATAGAAAAAGTAAAGAGTGATTGGAGATACTTTTCAGTTTGATGACGTTCTCAACTGTCGCGTTTGTCTTTCTTTAAATAGTGATAGTAAAATTGATGTTATGTAGCAGTAGTAATTTATGCATGTTAAATCTATTAACCTCTACTTATATGCGACACGGAACTCGGTAGATGTTTCTTTCGTTGATGTCTGTCTATCCTCTTAATTATTAGACAATTTCGAGCCGAGTCTTAGTATCATAAAATTGATAACCACAAAAACATTCTTTATGTCGATCATGCAACAACAGTTGCATTAACTGTTTTTCCTTCAATCCCGATTTTTTCATCATTGGCCTTAATATAAATACGGAGCTTAGACAAATTACCATAAAGACTGTTGGAATATGTAAGAACTGAGGTACAAAATGCCCCACGAAACTGAACAATGATCACTTCAGTTAATATTGTGTTTTTTAAAGCATTTCATTATTTTTCATTTGGCTTTCTCTTTACTACTATAGCTAGTGGACGCGATTCATCAAAGGTACAAGATAAGGATGTTGGTGTACCTCCCTTGCCTGCTATATCTAAGAAATGTGGGGCCCAGGTCAAGTCAACTACAAGTGGATCGTCCGTCGAACAGTCGGATGACGATGAAGCTGACGGAGAAAATGAAGCTAATCAAAATTTGGGCCCTTCAGACCCTAAACGCGTCCGAAGGTATTCTCCTCAATCTTTTAGTTTCATATGCTTTTTACCCAATATATATATAGTCTTTTAAAACATGTTAGGAAGTCAAATGCAGAAATAGTTGTACAAGTAAATCCGTTCATCGCGGTGAGATTTTATTGCAGTTGTATTTTTCGTAGACGATCGAAAAGCCATTCTTTCTCCTTTAATCCTTAAAAAGAATCTCGATTTATCTTTCTCAATATATTGGTAAGTTCAAGGTTGTCTTCTCATTTAATATATATATATATATATATATATATATATATATATATATATATATATATATATATATATATATATATATATATATATATATATATATATATATATATATATATATATATATATATATATATATATATATATATATATATATATATATATATATATATATATATATATATATATATATATATATATATATATATATATATATATATATATATATATATATATTTTTTTTTTTATTGTATTTTGAATTTTAGCAATTGTTCGAGTATCATCAAGATTACGTATATTTTATCCCTTTAATAAATGTATTTGTACTATTTGTCAGAATGCTTTCAAATAGAGAATCAGCACGGCGGTCTAGAAGAAGAAAGCAGGCCCATTTGACTGACCTGGAGTCGCAGGTTCAGCCTCGCATGTGTTCATCATATCTTCATTTTTTTCCCGTTATTTTCCCATAATTGATTGTGCTGTTAGATTCTGAATATTATGCTTCTACATAACAGGTTGGTCAATTAAGAGTTGAGAACTCTTCTTTACTGAAGCGCCTTACAGACATAAGTCACAAGTACAACGAAGCAGCTGTTGACAATAGAGTCCTCAAAGCTGATGTCGAGACATTGAGAGCAAAGGTAATTAAGGTTTTTCGGTATTTTTAGATAATCAGATTTTGCTGAGGCTGCTATTGATTTTCTTTTAAAAAAATCCAGAAACTACAGGTTAAAATAAAGGGTTTTTTGTGGAAATACGAAAAATAAATATCGAATATCCTGTCACATTGCATCTCATGCACTATATGAAGCTCATTTTAGACTATTACAAAGGTGTTCTGGTCTCGATCCATCTCTTCTGATCTGACCATTAAAATGTTTGATTTTAAATTTAGGATATTGCTGGTTAGATACTTTATTGAAAGCATCACCATCCCTCAGTTAAAAATCTCGTGCTCCCTTTGTTCCTTCATAATTGTCGTTTTTTTTAACTTTGCACAAGGATTAAGGATCTCATTAAATGTTACTTGATTTTACGAAAATGTATGTTTTTAGACTAAAATGCCACTGTCCACTAATTAATACTTCCTCCTTCCCATTTAATTTGTCGTTTTGAAAAAAAAAAAAAAGACTTGTTTCAAAATAGTTGTCACTTGAGAATGCCACTAAAACATTTATTGTGCTTTCTCAATTTTGCCCTTACTATTAAAAATTTAATGGTGAAACAATTAATAAGATAGGTCTTTTTAGTCATTTTATTATGATTTTCCTAGAAACCATGCACATTTATTAGTTTTTTTCATACGTGTGCATTAGCCCAAAATGACAAATAAAATGGGAAGGAGGAATAAGAGAGAGTGTTGGAGAGAGTTAATAAGGGTATAACTGAAAATTATCTAATTAATGCAGTATTGGAATTCTGGAATTCTAAAGTGACGGATAATATGAAACCAAAAAAAAAATCTCAAAAGTGACAGATATTGTGGAACAAAAGGAGTAACTAATGACTATTTGTTTTATCGAATAGGTAAAAATGGCGGAAGAATCAGTGAAAAGAGTAACGGGGCTGAACCCATTATTCCATGCAATGTCCGAGATATCGATAATGGGGTTGCCTTCTTTTGCCAACAGTCCGGACACATCATCAGCTGATACAGCAGCTGTAGCAGTACAAGTGCAAGACGAACAGAATCAGCATTATTACCATAATGCCCCTCTAGACCACAGAATTCAAAACGGTGTAGTTGTAGATATTCCTACTCCTATAATAGAGGATGTGGTGCAAACAACAAACAAGATGGGAAGGACGATTTCTATGCAGAGAGTGGCTAGTTTGGAACATCTGCAGAAACGCATTCGTGGCTCCACCGCTTCTTCTTCGGGTACTCAAAACCAGCAATAGTTCTTTTGTTGAAGATCTTGATAGGACCTCCATTAATGGATATAAATACGATGAGATTCATCGTTTGCTTTGAATTTATCATGTATTATTAAGTTTGTACTTCTTATGTTTATCAAGATTGTTGTATTAATATTATGGCGCTTGAAATTCATATTCCAATCGATAAACATAAATTGATAAAACACAATAATTATGTAAAATGTTCCTACATTGTTGGAGTGAATTGTAAAAGTAGTGTTTAAAAATAAGGGTAAATTACGGCCCACCCCCTGAGGTAAGGTTAAACTACGAAAAAATCCTCTTGTTTGGATAATTACAACCGCTCTCATCAACTATGAATTTTCTTACACGATGATACTTTCTTTATATGGAATTTGAGCTCCATGTTTTGATACTTTCTTTATATGGAATTTGAGCTCCATGTTTTGAAACAAGATGATCATAAGATGTATCTCTTGACTTGTAAATATCAGATTGTGGTGCATCTGAAACTGCAATTTTGCACCAAACTGAGTACATGCTAGAGAACATTCCGCGGAATCTAAAAGATTATGTTGAATCTAACACTGTAAGGGTTGACGTGTATGAAGATTCATAGTTGAGGAGGATTGTTGTAATTACCCAAACAAGAGGGTTTTTTTTTTATTTTTTTATAATTTAACGTTACCTGGGGACGGCCGTAATTTACCTTTAGAATAATAATGTTCACATACACCATAAATTATAAACAACATGTTGGAGATAATCTTATAATACATAATTAATTGATGAAAAATCATTTCTTAAAAGCTGTCCTAATGCAAATACATAGCAGGAACAGTTTAATTCTACATAAAAAAGAAGCTCTAACAAGTTCAATTCATGCGATTCTCAAATAGAAATGAAGTCGGATATAAAACTAATCTAGCTTCTTCGGCTTCTTCACAGGAGGGTTGGGAGATATTTCATTTTCGTCGTCATCCGACGAGATCTCTTCTACTTCATCGGGAACATCATTTGGAATGTTATGCTTTGTGATGAACTCCTTGAGAATGCTCATGCTCTGCTCTTTCACCGAATATAATTGGTCGGAGATAAGCCCTTTGTTTGCCTGAGCAAAGTAAGTCTCCGATCCTAGGTTTATCGTCGCTTTAACACGTACAGCGGTGGCAGAGTCGGCATTTGCAAGTTGAGCTTCCATTGGCTCGCTCCCCTGCACCATGATAAATCTTTAATTCAACACATAATTTTAAGCAAGGCATCACAAAGCTTTCCAAGAAAACAAGAATGTAATAAAATAATTATCTAACATTCACCATGGAAAATAACACACTGCTTTATCAAACATAAACTGAACAAGCAACTAATTACAGTTTAATTAGTTAAAATTCTACAAAAAATGATGGCATAAACTACATAATTTTCTATCACTCTCTTAAAATAAATAAATAAAAGAAAGTTCCCACACAGTATTTGACAGTTCTGTATCAAGTCGAAGAAATTTCAAAAATTGATTGGGCGTTAATTAATCACAAAGCTTCAAGGTAGAATGGAGATTTGCGCTGAAAAAATTATGAGTTTTAAATTAAATCTAAAAAATTAAAGCAAAACTGATAATCCGTAAGTAGAGAAGATTAACCAGAAAAATGAAAAGTTGGGCATCGATGCTGCTAACCTGATTGGTTGGTTGGATGTAGTTGCTGGTACAGTCGTTGAATGTTTTGAGGGATGTTTACAGAAGAAAAGAATAACCCCAAGTTAATTGAAACCCTAGCACAGAAATGGACAACTGTTTTGCGTTTATTTACATTCTAGCCCTACAAGTTTGTACACTTACATAATTACCCCCTCCAATACCTAAATTTGCTTTTTTTTCTTCAACTATGTTCGCACCGGGGTCCACTCTGATAGATAATGCATTTGAAGTTTGAACCAACAAACAAATAATTTAGAATTTCTCGATAGGTGAAGCTATTTGAAATCCACCAAATTTTTCATCATACTCCACAAAAAGTTGGTTTCCCAATTTTATCCCTTACATATTTTCTATGTATATTTTAACCAACTAAGAAATACTCCATCAATTTTTAATTCAACACACCTCTTAAAAAGCACTCAACATTTCACGAACAACAAAAAAAAAAAAAAAAAAAAAAAACAGAAAAAAGAAGAACTAGAAGTAAGATAATAACCACGAAAGGGAAAATCATTGCAACGTTCGTCGTCGTTCACCCGCCGCAGTAATCCTCGTTGAAAGCTCATTACATAGTCGTCAAAAAGCAACCGATCATCACAAATTGATCAAGTTTTGGATGCTTGGACCTAAGTAATGATCAAACAATCTAGAAGCTCAATTGAGGAATGCATGTCTGCGTAAATATGGAAGACCGACCTCCCTCATCCACTTTTCTTTCTTGCTCAAAATGAATTCTTGAATAAAGTCGGTGCAAAATGTTTTTACTTATGAGTAACGATCAGAAGAGAGCCTGGATGAAGTCCTTAGGTCCAAAATGATGTCACTTGTAATTTGAAAAATGTTTTTATTGGATAATTTGTAGTATTGAGACTTTGTTGTTGTAGAAACTTATTATTACTTTTTTCTTTGTGTTTGTATGAACAATTTGTAAGATAATTATGCACCTTTGAATTTTGCTTTGAACATACCTTTTATTTAAGAGTAATGTTATATGTGTTTTCTCGTAGGGAACTATTTTGTTTTAGGGTTAATAGCATTTCTCCACCTGGATTTTTCCCCTTTTTGCACTTTATCACTTTAACTAAAACAAGTTGCACGGGCGCACCCAAACATTCATTTTGAACGCACATAACTACATGGATGGGAATATTCTGGCGAATCGTTCCACTTTCCGGTGCACGCACGTTGCACATGCCAAATTATATGGGCCTTTTCGTCTTTTCCTTTACACATCCTTCTAAATACCCTAGCAGTCATTGACTTCACCTATTTCATTTCAATTTCGCACCTTCACAAAAAATTCCCTTTTCTCTGTCAATCTAAGGCTAACATTGTCGACGATAAATTGTAATGATCTGAAGATCTTCCTCACTCTATCGTGATTGGAAGTTGAGGGAGGGTAATGACGTGGACGATTTTCGAAAAAAATCTCTAGAATACGGTATGCGTTCTTAGAATTTATATTCTTTGTTTTTATTTTATTTTTATTTTTTTATGTAAAAAGTTGTTTTATGTATTCAATGTGGTTGCACATGGAGTGTTCTGGGATTTGTTTATACTAACCGTATAATATAATTCCTTTGATTTAGATAACCTTCCATATGTAGATGATGCAGTAGGTAATGACTTTAATGATGTGTCTGACTCTGATGTGCCTGAATTTGAGGTTTTTGGTAATAATATGTCTGTGAATTATGTGACTGACATTTTTGGTGACATGATAATGAAAGTGGTGGTAGTGATGTTCAGTCAGTTGGAGATGATTCAGAGCACAATGACTTTTTGATTGATAGTGATTTTTTTGCATCTGATGATGATTTTCAATATGATAAAAATGTTGATCATGGTGTAGAGTGGGGTGGACTTAGGACATATGAAGAGACTGAAGAACCTAGAAGGTCTAGGAGATTAAACAAGGGGAACGAGAAAGTGGTAGAGGATCAGGTTGAGGAAACTGCCAAGAAAGATTAATGGAAACACCACAACTTTCTAATTTTTAATCCAAAGGTAGACATGGCTGATTCTAAGTTTCAGCTTGCTGTTTGCTTCAATGATGCACAAAGTTTTAGAGACACCATAAGACAACACTCCATAGTTAATGGTAAAGACATAAAGCTGAAGCTTAATGAGAAGTATAACATTCAAGCCATATATATGCAAACATCCAGGTTGTACCTGACTAGTCTATGCTTCTCAAATGAGAGGTGAATCTGTTAGAGTAGGTGACCAACGAGCCAACTTGTGGCTGTGGTCTCTTCATATATTCTTGTAATAAATAATCATTTTTCGTATTAATGATAAAACACCTTGGCATTCTATATCTTTGTCCCTTGTACAAACATAGATATAGTCCTTACAGTTATTACATTTACTTATATTTGATCTATTAAGATCGTGAGATATTTACTTAAGTATTATAACTATTAATCCGTGTTCCTAGTCGAAGGGTTACGCCACCAATGAGGATATCGGCCTTTCCCATTAAGAGACTAGCACTTAGTGTATGTGTACTGCATCTCATCAGTAAACGGTATTGTGATATCGGCATACATAAGTGGGTGCTCGTAAGTCGGCGAATTCACTGAACTCCCTCACCCTAGAAATATCTAAGTGGTTCTCAATAATCGAGTAGAGATCTCTATGATATAGATGTACACCATTAGTCCTTAAGACCTAGACATCACCGTGACTTCACTAGAGGACCAGCTGTATCGTGACATGTCCCTGAGTTCCACCGAGGACCGCCCCAAGAGCCAGTGTTCGTGCAGTCCGAAATCTAGTGGGAGGTCTGTGCATTATAATGGGGGATTCGATCGCTAGAATAGTCTTGGATGTCCTGTGTGTTCTCATAGTTTGTAATCTTTAAGTCTATAGCCAGAGCTGATGACTAAGTGATGATTAGAGAATTCGATTCTCTAAGTCATGCACGTAACGATTACAACACTTAGAACGATCGCACTGTCATTGAACTACTAAGGAGGTCTCGATGAACCAATGCATCTAGTTCAATCGGGACATATGAATCGAAGGGATCGTACTGTACGCTAACTATATCAAAAGGTTCTTGCAGGAACTTGATTTGTATCTAGGGAATCATGACGCGTAGTTGCTAGACGCCAATCTTGATTCGTTGGGTGATTAAGGTGAAACGAGCTTCATCTTAATCATAACTCTAAGAGACGAGTTTAAACCACAAAGAGTTGTGTACCCACGGCTAGCTTACACCTGAACCATCGAGGGTCACACTGCTCGTGCACATGAGATCTTTGAATAAACGGTCAAAGATAAAAATGTTTTATCTTTGCATAATTGGAAGTCAATACGATTTAGTCCAACATTCATAATTTGGAATTATGAATGAGAATAAGAAAAGTAAAAGAATAGGCGAACATCTTAGTGAACTTTCTAAATCGGGAAGTTTCCAAATTTAGAAAGTGCACTGAATTAGGGTTTCCACTTTTGGAAAGTTGGAAATCGAGAGTTTGCATTCGTAATGACAAGGACATTATAATGATTCCGAAAATGTAATC